GTACTCTCCTCTGAGAGCTGTCTCTTGGACTACAGAGCAAAAGTCACCCTATCTGAGACATAATACTTGAGACAAGAAGTTATGCTGACATCACAGATGCAGGAACATCCTAGCAAAAAATGTACGTGGAAAATTATGTAAGAGCATACAATAAACTGTTAACAGGACACTTCTGCAGAGAGAAAAGGAGCTGGGAGATATGTGAAAAGATATGAGAGGTCTTTGTATTTGGAGAAGAGGGTACCTGTGCCACTGTTGGCTTCTGAAGTCAACAGTATCTGCAGTGGCAAAATGAGTGGCTCGCAATGACCCGTGAAAAACCTTGAATTTTTAAAGGTGCTTATTACTGTGTGTAAGGTACATTGGAGGCTATGAAGTTACAGTAGCCTAGATCCTGCTCTCAAGCAGAAGTGATGAGGCATGAATACAATTACTGTGGCACACAGTAGAAAGTGGTTGAAAAAAGAGATGCAGATGAAGAGTGATGAGAATGGGAAAGACAATTACTTCCTTCTGAGGAGGATCACGGAAGGAGAGCATCATGCAAGAGAAGGCGAAGTATGAAAAGTTTAAACGTATTTGCATGTTTCTTTTTTTTAAGATCTAGTTCTAACGTCACCTCTGTAGTAAAAGGGTGCCCTGATTCTCTCAAAGTTCAGTTGCTTGGACCCATGATTTTTATTCCTATATCACACTAGTTTATTTCCCCATTTATAAACCTTCCTCCATTAGACTCTGAGTGAAAGGGCAGAATGCATTTTACGCACACAGAGCCTGGCACTAGCACCAATCCATCCATCACACTCGTTCATTCGATTTTTCCAGTTCCGTGCTAGGTGTTGGGAAGGCATGCAAAGTGGAGTAAGATATAGTATCTGCCACTGAGGATAATAAACAAAAATGAATAATGACAGTGCAGTATCATAACTGCCTTGATAGGAATAATGCACAGGGCTAAGGGAACCAGAAGGACCAGAATCAGAGTATGAGGATAAGAGAGAAAGGCCTCCCCAAAGACACGGTGTTTAAGCTCTTTTTGAAAAACGTGGAAATAGGGTAGGAGAGGGATTTCATGTGGAGGCAAGAGCATCATCCTTTAAGAACTATAAACAGGCACTCAGAAATATTTAATTGACCAGAATTATGATCAGGGGAGAGTTTAGGGGACTTAACTCCCATCTAAGTATTTCCCTTTCACAGTAATAGACATTTCTGAAAATAAACCCAGGATTAAGAATCCATGATTATAGGAGAAAGCTGGTGATGCAATTTATCCTAGAATTAGAAACCACCTGCCCACCAACTTATTTTCTGATCACTTCCCAACCAGGATTTCAGTGTACTGGCTCCCTAAGTAAAAGCAATAAGTTACCAATCATCTCATTATCTCAGTGAAACTGAACGACTGGCCTCCAGGCCAAGAGAGACCTGTGCGAGCTTCTCTCTTCCTACCAGCTGGAGTGCTTTATTGCTCAGTAAACAGGCAACTCCCTTCCTCTCTTTGTGTGATCATGTCCCTTAATATCCATTGTCATCTAAACAACTTCTGCTTTAATTCCTCTTGCTGCGGAGAAGATATAAGGAGCCAACGCTAGGTCAACATGATCCTATTATAATCATGCTTCTCAAAGGGGCTGGCAGATACAATGCCCACATCAGGCATGGGCTTATTCCAAGTCCTGAAGGCATTTGCTCACGCTAACAGGCAGCCTGGTCAGGAAACACACCGAGCAAAGATGTAATAATGCCTAACTTTTTCTTTTGCGTAAATCTCACCTAATCCTCAGGTACATATTTTGCTTCCCAAAAAACAGGTAAGGAAACTGAGACTTTGGTTAAGCAAATTGCCTGAGCTTGCATGAGAGTTTATATTTGAATCCAGTGTTAGTCTGGCTCCAAAACCCAGTGTTTCTGTTACAAAAAGCTGCCTCTCTATAATCTATAGGTTCCTTAAGGATAGAGAAGGGAACATGCTAGTGGGAAGAAATTCTATTTTTTCAGGTAAGACAAATCAGCTACATGATAATCCAATTCTGCTTGCTTTACTGGATTAGAGAGAAAGTAACTGCCTTCTCGGCACAAACAATTCCATTCTGCCACAAGGAACACAAACTGCCCTACAGAGCCATGTTTCATGTATAAAGGCATGAAAACCAGAATGACTCTCATTTAAGAGAAGTCACAAAGCAAGAACTCAATAAATGTTCATCAACTCTTTAAGATCTACTTTACCTGCCTTTCCTTTCTTTGTAAGTCTGACTGATACACTGATACCAACGCTTGTAACTTTCTATCACCTGTATACCAGGAGCTAGATATGGAAGATGAGAAAGGAATCACTACTGGTACATACTACTGAGACTCAAATTCCAGAACTTCGAACTATGGGAAGGAAATGTGCTGTCACGGGGCAGATATATTGCACTGGAACTTCTGGAAATTGAAGCCAGAGTGTTAATCCCGCCCCCGACCCCATCCCCACTCCAAACTCAGTTGATTATAATGCAACATATTAAGTAACAATCACAGCTAGAGAGGTCCTAATAATCATTCCATCAGGAATTCATCCCAGGAGATCCAAAAGGATTAGGGAGATATAAGATTCAGATGTCTTTTAAAAGTTCATAACTCTCAATGAACTGATGCTACATGTTTTTCATAGTCTGCTCATTTTTAAAATCTGGATTTAGGAAGTGATACTTCACACTTATTCGATCACCATCTATTATTTTATTAGGATGAGATGTCACCAGTATTTACTAATGATTAAGAGTCTTTAGGTCTTATCTCTGAATAAGATGGGAATTAAAATTTTGGAGCCCAAATTCCATAGATTCTATAGCCAAACCAAACCATTATGGAAGAATTCAGATGGCTGAGAAACTAACTTGTTGATGCAAAAGGAATAAATATATTTCCACGCAATGCATTTATGCACACGTGTATAAATACATTGTACCTCTGAAGAGTTCATGCTTTCCAACAAGGTTATTTGCCACTTTTCATATTCTGAGGGCAGAAGCTTCCCTCTAAATTTCTTCTGCGCTTTGGGCAAACTTCTGTTTTAGTTGCTATCCAACCTAATTTCACACCAGTTATTTTCATCTCAGATCTTGAAAGGTCTGCCATATGAACACGTGAGGCAAGGTGGTGATTATATACTGTGGATCTTAAACTGATTTTCAAAAGGATGCATCACAAGCTCACATTTTCACATCTATAGAACTTTATTAACAAGTAAAACACATCAGCATGTTTTATATATGGGCAAGGACATTCCTATAATAATATATGGCACGATATCATCTAACAGTTGAACTTTATCAAGAATGAGGTTTTAAAAAATAATACACTGATATTTCATATGACTATTTGAAGAATAACATTATTAAAATAACATTTAACAGCAGTTTGAAAATATAAAGCTCATTGTTTACTATTTACCATAAGTTGGAATCATTCAAATACAACAATTTCTATTAAAAAAAGAAGATACTATGCATATTCTACAAACCTAACAAATGGTTGGCTAGGAAAGGCTGTGACAATAATTGGCCCCTGCCCTAATACCGCAGTTCCTTCCTCAAAGGGCAGGAGGTTTAGGCAGTCACTTCTCAGTCCAGTACACAGTTACACATATGGTAATCATATAATCTGTCCTCTAAATTTTAACACTTTTGAAAGGAAGAAGCCCTATTTAAGCTGAGAAAATGGGAATAACCAGGACTGTTCTGAGCAAGATCAGAATATCTGTCACTCTAGTTAAATACAGTATCAAATGCAATATCATTACTTTTGTGCTTTGGGGGACAGTACGGACCAGATGAAAAATAAATTAAGGAATCCTAAATTTTTCTCCAATTAAACATTTTGGACTTCACTTTTCCTGTTATAAGAAATGTTAGTGATTATTGTTTTAACAGGTTAAAATTCACGAACAATCTCGAAGGCGTGAGATATTGCATATAAGCTCGAAATAAAAGGCTATGGAGATTAGTATTTTTCCTAATAAACAGATTTTCATTTTTACTGAGTGTAACAGGATTTGACTTTACTTTTAGATTTCTAAAACATATCCTTAACACAGAAAAATATATTTTTAGTTTATTTCATAAATACATAAAAATGAATAATCTTGGCCACAACTAGCTTATTCAAATATAACAGAAGTAACTTATTTTCATTAATTTCCAAGCCCAAGTTCACATTCATTCAAAAATTTAGACACCCTAAGAAGGGTTTTGATTTTCAATCTCTAAGGCAGAGTGCAAAGTGGTTAAGTGTCCCCAAAACATCCCAGCAGCTGTTCTATCCACACTCACAGAAAATGAAGGGAAATATGCAGAATTTGATAAATTTGAAAGGGGATGTTAAGTTTTTAAAAATAATATTCCAATTCCCCTGCTCGGATGAGATTTAAGGCTACCATTGAACTGTACAAATTATAGAGGATTAGGTAACATGCACACTTGAATCTTATAGACCTGGGGGAACAAAAATCAAAACAACAAGTGAAGTTGCGATGTTGGATCAAAAGTGACATATCCATATTTGGAAATCAAGGATGAATACCACAAAAACTAAAATAAACTTTTAGTAAATTGAATTTAATGCCTGATCTAATATTTTTAAATTAGCATGCATCATAGCTTAATTTCATTTGAAAATTATTAAAAGAACAAAGTATAGGTCTATAGAAAATTAATGAGATAAAGAGGAGATTCGGCATGAGTTTATATTTCTTATAAGTACATTCTAATTGTAATTAATTTCCAAATCAGGCAACTAAATTAAGTATTGTTTTATTTACCCCATGCTATTGTGTTACTTCAAGGGGTGTAACATTAGGTACTTAAATCAACAATAAAAATTTTCTGCAGGAGAGGAGGCTCAGTGAAGGAAAATAAAAAATAGGAGGCTCAATTAGCAAACATAAAACTGCATGTTTTATTTATTAAAGACAATGAAATAAACAAGAAAATACAGATAAATACAAAAGATGTTGTAAAACATAATAGATTTTATTTTTTCAGAAATGGAAAAATGTCCCTGAATAGTTTTAGATGTATCTTTTAGTAGTAGTCAGTGTCTAATAATAAACAATCAATTTTATGTTCTATTTAGCTGTATTAAATGATTTCTAAGTTTAAAGATGAAATAATTCCCATCATTTTGAATGTTGGCTTTCAAGAGCAAAGATATAACTGAAAAGAAAAACAGATGAGACATAAAATGATTTGCAAAATGTAGTAGCTTGTGAATGTAGATTCCAGTTGTAATAATGATCACATACAGACACTCTCGCAATACACATATACACCCCACATCCCTATATTCCACAGATACATTTCTCAATTCAAGATATGATTTTTACAAGTTAATCCTACAATCATAAAGCAAGAAGCTATTAAAGTACAAGTTTTTATTTGCTAAATTTAACAAACTAAACATCTAAAAGTTATTAAAATGATACTGAAAGATACTTTTATTGGCTTTTTAAAAGACAAATGCAAATGAGGACATCTTAGTCAAAAAATTAGTTTTCAAAAATGTCTTAAATGAAATAAATATAATATCTAATACAATCTCTTCCTGTAAGAATCTCTAAGACGGGCAATGCTAAAAAGCCAAGCTTCTCATTTGATAATCCCTAAAACTGGCATGTCCCTTACACAATTTTTTTTTCTTATAAAGAACATGTAAAATACCCATATTTTCTTATAATTTGCCCTAAAAGAAACTATCTTTAACATCCAAATTTTCTCTATATATTAAGTTCACTTAATTTAAAATTACTAAAAAGATATCTAGAGACAATTTCTAAGAAAAAAATGTGGAAAGTAACTTATGCATGGTTATTTACAGAAAGAGCTTTGCTAATGATGTAAAATCATATTCAAAACTCTGACAAAGCCTTTCTAATAATCAGCACTGCAAATTTCAAAAAATCTTTATACCTAACAAAGGATGTTTCATGTATAGAGTTACCAGATGAATCTAACAACCAGAAACTAAAGCATTTGACATGGTTAATTTCATTTTTTATTATATTAAACTTCAGGTCAGAAGTCAATGGCATTTACATGCTGGAAGACTGTTGTTTATCACTTAACTCTTTCAATTATATCACTGATTAACCAAATGTGACTGGACTTCACTGCTACAACTTTATGGTTTCTTTCAAGTGTATGCAAATCTTTTAAATGCGCACATATGCAAATGTGCAAAACAAATGAAATATAAATATTTAAGAGAATGAACAGAAATGGCTATTAGGCATAAACCACCCTGCCATTCAATTTGAGAGCTCTATCTTTTCTTGACTAATGTGTCTTCTGTTATTAGTGGTCTTCTATATCCTATTAAAGTTGTAGGTTTACAGATGATCTGGAATTTCACATTGGCATAAGAAAGGAATGTATGGTTGATGCAAATCTAGGAACAAAGAAAGATTTAGTCTTAAAATGTATTAAGTTGCAGTTATATAAATGATAATACTATAAAACCCCATTTTACAAAGTATACCAAGTATATAATTTTTTTATAAAGATGACAGAATAGCCTATATCAGAATATATTCCCAAGTTTAAAGCTTCTATAGGAGACCATCTAAAGACATTTACATTATATTTTAGACTTTTGAAAATGCAAACAAGATAATCATACTGACTACCCACAGAAAATCATTTAAATTAGTATAATTACTTTGACTTTTATCATACAGTTAAAACTGACAAACTCTTAATGTCAGTGCATGCAAAGACATTTTACTCATTAAAGAGAAAATGGGACATCTTTGCGGGGAGATCTTAATGGAACATTTTAAACTATAATATACTATAATATGATCCAGAAATACAATTGTATTCATTGTACTCTACAGTAGAAATAAACTGTTGGCTTATGTAAAATTCATGTAAGTTAAAAATAAAATTTAAGCAACCAAATCACAAACCATATAATTTATGTATAAAAAGAAAACTTAGTATACAACAACCTTGAAAAGCTTTGTACTTGTGGATAAATCCAGAAATTAAGTGTTTTAGCAGACAGTTTGTTTAAGCAGTTCAAATACTTTAAAAGTTCAAATCATTTATAGATATGAATTGTATGGTACTTGCTTTCAAAAACAGGGTAGAAAGTAGAGATGAGGTCTCTTTATGTAAAAATATCACTACCTCCACAATAAATAAATGCTCTCACTTACTATCTACATGGCCTCCAGAAACTCACTGGATATCTAGTAAGACCTTTGCTGATTTCTTTAATTATTATTTATGCAAGCTGTAGCCTTCATTGTTAGTACAAACTGGCACATGTTAAGAAAACAATAACAGAGCTCCTATTTTTTTCACAAAACTTTCTTTCCTTGATCTAGTTTGTTAAGATCAATGCATGGCAAACTGCTTTTCAATCACAGAATTTTTTTGTTCTTTTCACCAGATGTCGAAGTGGATTTCACATTGTTTCATGCAAAATGCCCATCCCTTCTGAGTAAATGCTTTATCATATTTTTTCATGTCTTCAAATTTTTTGCTGGTAGTTACTTCATAAATATACTGTGGTCAAAGTTTCAGTTTACTCATTATACATTTTAAAAATTAAAATTTATGAAATTCAATTTTAAAAATCTAAGTGATCTTTAAAAGTTCACTTTATTAAATTTCAATAGGCTGATTGTTAACAATATTAAGTGTGCTAAATCTGAGTAAATAACATGAGTATACATCAAGCATTTAACATGCATCTGGTAAATTTTAATACATAAAGGGAATAAACAGTTAATACATTAATATTTCTTACCTCTATAATAAGAAGAAATATCTTGTTCTATGAGCAGCTGCCATACTTTCAGACATGTTTCTGACTTTTAGATAATTAACAAATCCTCTGAAGAAAAGAAGCAGGCCTAAGAAGGTTAAAATAATAGAGATATTATTTTCTTATACAGAAAGGGGGCATGATATATTTAAAATAGACAATTATAAACAAGATCCTCTTGGATTAAGAAATTTTATCTATAGAATTCCATTCATTCCATAGTACATTTTACACTATAATGATAACTCCATCATGAGGAAACAGAACTTACTGCCACCTAAAAAGTCTTTCGATTTATTAAGCCTAAGGATATCTGAAGTAGAAATTAAAGTAAAGCAAATCCAGCCATGAAAATCCAGAATTACACAAAAATACATTTAAAAAATGATAGTAAAGTTACCTAATGCACTTAACTGATTCAACTCATAGAAATCCCATTTTACCAAAATTTTCTATTAATATAGCTACTAAGCAAATTAAGGCATATTTACTTATATAAAGTATTCAAGAGAGAATATGTGTATGTTAATGCTAACAACTGTGGGGTAAAACCAATAAGCCTGACTAGCAATAAATATATCAAGTGTCTGTCATCAGTGAAATCTGTATGTGAAGATATGTGCATTATGTAAAAAATTTTAATTATTAGTTCTTATTTTCAAGTAATAGCAAAAGACTAATTTATAATAAAAATTAAGATAAAAATCAGGAAAGACTTGAGAAGTAGCCACTCTAGTAATTTCTTAAAGGAACTGAGTTATATCTATCTCAGCATTCTTCTCTGTAAAAACAGTACTTTTAAATAATAACCACTTACATCACAGGTATCTAATAATTAATAAAACAATGCCTGTGAAATGCTTCAAAGCTTCAGATGGAAAATATTAACTAAGTATAAAAAGCAGTACCATTAATAGAATTAAATTTTTGATATACTTAAGCATATAATTCTAAGGGAAACATTTATTAACCCCAGTAAATTTTTAATCAGGTAACTGCGGGGGACAAAAACAGAAGATCCCTATGCAGGTAACTTTTCTTTTACAAGGAAGAAGAGTTTGTCAATTTAAAATGTAAAGTCTCAAACTAAATTTGTACCCCCAACTCCGAGTAATCAAAGTACTAAAAAAAAGAAGCATGTTTATAATAAAGACAGAAGATATATACGATGACTTAAATAAGTATTATAAATTTCAGCTGAATCTGATCCCATCTGCTTCCCAGACCTTAACTACTTCCGTTTGTGACTCCCACTCTGAATTCCACCACGTCTTTCCAGATGCTGTTCAAAGATAATGGGATTGTGATCCAAATGTAAAAGTATTAATGAAAAGTGCAAACTAAAATTATTTGTGAAATCGCCTCTTTTGTCTATGAAGCTATTGTTTCTAAGACACATTTTGTTCTCCTCGGGTATTTTCTAAAATAAACCAATTCATACCTAGAAACCAATCACTCAGTAGCTACTGCTTCTGAGTTCTACAATGTTTTCAACATTCTGCTCATGGATTAAATTTTCACGCTGCCCTAAATGTTCGATTATGGCTCTAATGTAGAAATTGCACTTGTCCTCTGCATTCCTCTCTGTCCCACTCTGTTATCTTCCTAAGATCCTCAATCCCTTAATAATATATAAGCAAATATACTCATTTAATATGCTTAAATACCTAAACAGACTTTATACGTTCTTTCACTTTTAAGTAAGAATCTCAATAAAAAGCACAGAATTCAGGTAGTCAGAATACAAATAACAATATAAAATCTGGCTAACCTCCGTATGTCTTAACTCCCCCCAAAAATCACAACACTAGAATAATTTTACTATTTTTATTAAAGAAAGAATCCAGATCTCTAGTGACCTTAAATAACCACTAAGAATTTGTGTCCCACAAAATCCTACACATCCAATAGCAGGACGAAAATAACAACTCAAGGAAAAGACTGCCACCTACTGAAATGCCATTATTTTCTAGTACAATTAATTTTACTAAAGAAATGTAGGCTTTAAAATTCTATATAGAAATAAAATGTGTCCTTCATGTCAGTGAATAAATTTGAAATGTGGGTTAAAGGTAAATGTAATTTTTAAGATTAACTTAATTATCATACATCTAAAGTGAAAAACACAAGGGAACAAAAAATAGAAATCCATAAAATTTATCAATTTGAATAACACGGCATGCTTTATAAGAAGATAACTTTTAAGAAAAGTACAGTGATTATTAGGCATGAAGCCTTTCCTTATGTCTCTCTGGCTGATTAATGAATAATGCAGGGCAAATTTCAAAAGTATAAAGAATGTTTCAGTGATCCAAAAATAAGAAAATGGATAGAACATTCACATTTAACTATCTTCCTGTCAACATTTTCTAAGATCATTAAAAGAAATTACGTACGTATATTTTCCAAGATAAAACTGAAAACAATTATTTTTCAATCATGTTAGTATTTTCAGGTTTTATAGTGTTCAACTGTCATTCAATCTGTATTCTTTAAATTGAATAGCTCTGTATTTTAAATCTAAGAAATCTGTAGTATTATGTAGAATTACGTGAACAGCTGAAATGATGTGTTTGGATATGAAATTTTACAGAATAATTATTTCCACATAAGTTGTAACACAATTTATAACTTACAATTTTAGGAAATATCAAAAATAAAACTAAATGCAAACTAATCAAAGTGAAATGCATTGAGAATAGGCTTACCAAGTACAAGAAATATCCACCAAAGCCAATATTGTCCATTAAAATATCCAGTAAAATAGTCAGAAAACTATGGAGTAAAAAATAAACATATTAATCATATTTATGTACCTAATTTGAAAATCATAGATTAGCCTCAGTTTCAGAATGATTTACTTTAAGTAATCTCTTAGCACTTAAAAATAGCACAAAAAGAAAAACAAGAAAAAACAATGACATATATATAATTATTTGATTAAAAAAACATGGCAAACAAACATATGCAAAGTATTTTAGAAACAAAAATTAGTTTCAAACTGCTTGTGAGGAAAAAAAGGTAAAAGCTATATATCTGAATCCAACATTTTCTCATTAAAAAGTCCACGTCAGTTCTTTTTTCATAATCTCTCAAAGCCATGACTACCATCCCAAATACACTACAGCAACCCGCTGCTTCAGATATTAACACCAAAAGCCACATTAGTTTAATCTTATCAGATGGGGATGTTCTGCTGACCTCTAAAAAGAAGAGCTTTTGACCTTCTGTACACCCCCTACTGTTAATCACTGCCAAGAATACCAGGCACATAAAGACCCCCAGCTCATTAGAGTCTTTTTATTTTCAAACTAGTTGCTCCAGCATTCAGTTCCTAACAGTGAGCTGAGAACAGCTAAATGAACCTTGAAGTGGCATTTCAACAGTTCCTATTAGTGGCCATGGTAGGCAGTTTCATATTCTCTGTGAAATAAGAATATAAACAGGCATAGATAGAGACAGGGTTTGATAATATTGGACAAAGGTACTTTTCTATGATTAGATTCTAGTCATTATGATTTATTATATTTTTTTATAAAATTATTGGGGTGACACTGATCAACAAAATCCAGTAAATTTTAAGTTACAACCCAAAAGTATGTCATATATATATTGCATTGTGTGTTCACCACCCATAGTTGACCCCTTTTACCCCTCTTTACTTCCCCTCACCCCCACTTTCCTCTGGTAACCATTAATCATTTTTAAAGTTTTTTTTAAAATATCAACCTAATTTTCTTCAGTTACTTTGGCTATTACTCTTTAGCATCTAATGATGCATCAAATAATTGTTTTCAAAAGTGTTTATTATAATCTATTCTAAAACTACTAAAAATTAGCTTGTTTTATCTACTATTTCCATTGGTCTCCAAACTGAATCTGATTTAACTAAAAATGATTTTGTTCAGTATAGATTTGTCTTCCAATCTGAAATTAATTAAAAGTATCTATTTCCAACTTTATAGGTCATTATTTCCAACTATTCATTGGCAATTTCCATAAATGCTTAAAAACCTATACTTTTGGTAGTAACAAAAATGCTTAAAAATTATAAGTAATGTCACTATTGAGGAAAGATAGATACTAAAGATTATCTAACTGTTTTTTAAAGCTTTTAAGTATTTTCACAGGAAGTATTTACAATTTGTAAATGAATCATGATCTAAATTCTCAGGCTCAGAGTTTTAGAAATTTCAAAGTTTAAAAAATTCCTAATACCATTAAAGATGCAAATCCCCCATTCACTGACACCTTTAAAATGTACAATGAACGGAGAACTAGAAAATTGGGAAAATATAACTTGTAAAGTAGGATTGCACTACATTATTTTTAATCAAGTGATTAATAATTAGAAATAGAAAGTTTTCAATTAGGTTTTAGAAACTATAAGGACAAGAAATAAAGAACCAAAGCAATACATTTTTAACTTTCTAATTTCAAAATATATTTAATATATAGTCTTAAGTGGCAAGAGGCAACCAGAAAATTAGAACAATGTCATTCATCACCCAAGTTATTTAACTAAAGCTATTCTTTATTTACTCCCAAGTGAAGAATATCATTACCTTCACCTCAAAGTCAAAGAGAAAGACTCACTATGTAAAAAAAAATAATGAGCTTTTGGGCTCATTATTAAGTTATCAAAAATGCTGTAAAATACTAAAAATCATATGGCTGAGACCAATTGCTGTTTCTTAAAATAAATAAATAAGTTATGTTGACTGGCCAATCACAGGCAGCAGAAATCAAATTGTAAAAAATAAATTAACCAACAAGAATTTATCCGATTTTATTTTATTAATATAATCCAGTGTTTTATTGTTTACATTCTGTTTACTTTAAAAAAAAAAACTTGTTTTTAATAAAACACATATACATATTTAAAGAAACAATAAAAACATCAAAAGCCTTACACACACACAAAAAAAACATCAGAATCTTGAGCTAAAGATATTTACACTAAATCTGAAGTTAATGACAACTCAGAAATGAAAAGGAAAGCAGCAGTATGACTTACACATTACTTATTGTCTAATAAAAGGAAACACCAGGCTTTTAGGAGAAAACCTTTCTCTTAGCACTGACTTCCAAGGAAAATTTATTGCTTGGTGCATTATAATAAAAGTCAAAGTACAGAGGCAGTACAGAATTAGGAGAACAGGCACTGAATTGAGACCAAGCTAAATCCAGCCCACATAGAAACTGTAGGACATTAAGCAAGTTATTAGACTCTTTTTATTCTTAGTTTAATCATCAATAAATGGTTGGATTGTCACCAGCATCACTGATACAGATAGGGTTAAAGAATTTAGTGTTTGTAACAAATTATGCCTGGAACATAATAAAGTTCTCAGTGAATGGCAGCTATTATTATTTTATACAAACGGTTTTAAAAATTCCTTTTCTTACACCAATTCTCAATAAATACTACTGGTATAATATTAACCTTAACTCAGTAAAGATATTTTAAAGGGAAACTAAATAGTCCTGGTGATCAAACTTGATGCAAGTACATACCTTACAAAATTTTCAGGAACTCTTTAAGTTCTAGTTATAAAGTTCCCCATCTTATCACATTAACTGGAGTTGATTGCTAGATAATATAACCTAGGGTTCGGTTCTAATGCTCATGGTGGTAACCCATTTTACATTTTTTAAAAATGAAATTAGAACTCAAATCTGCCAGGGGGCAATTATTACAATGGCTCAAGTTTTAATCATTTCAGAAGAAGCCAATCCATAGGTCTTAACCAAGAATCAACTGATTAATAACCAAAAACCTATGATCTGGTTTTAACAGAGGGAGTCAGATAAGATTACTGAACCCTGCCTGGGAAGTGAATAAATAAGTTTAAAAATAATGAAGAAACACATTAAATTCACAGTTTAAAATATTTTTGGTCTACGGCCATGCCACCCTGAACAAGCCCGATCCTGTCTGATCTCGAAAGCTAAGCAAGGTCGGGCCTGGTTAGTACTTGGATGGGAGACCACTTAGGAAGACCAAGTGCTGTAGGCGTAAAAAAAAAATAAAAAATAAGGAATTGTAAGCTGACAAGGTCGTTGAGGTCAACCAAGGGTTGCCTCGCCTAAAAAAATACATGTTTTTGTAACGGGCACTATTTTAATCAATTTGGTAATGTAAGTACACAAGTGTCTGAAGTACTTAAGAGCAGTTGACATATCAGGTATGTGATTCTACTGACAATCACAGGAGGATGTGACTCATTCAATTAGAAATCAATGTTTAAATAAATATGATTTATAGAAATATATATTTTATTAAATGTATATTAGCACTTAAATATATGGGTAACTTTTAAAAAAAATTATGAAACAGTAAATAAAGCCACTTTTGAACATTCTCCTAGGCCTTATCCTAAAGAAACTAAAAATAAAACTGTAAAAAGAAGTCAAAAGCAGCCTTCAAGAAGCAAAGGTGAAGAACTGGGAAAGGTTATGCTAACAATAGTACTGTCTATGCAACTATTACAGAGAACTATGTTGGACTAGAAGAGTTGTTGAGATACGAGAAAGAAAAGGACTTAATCCTTGTTGTCTCCCTACGCACTATCTTGTACATAAGAGGTAGACAGAGGGTGATTTCCAAAAACAGCAGGAAAATGAGAAGGCTTAGAAAGAACATAAGAAGGGAAGACACTGAGTTCTGATAGCCACTTGAAAGACCTATACTTTACTTTTGATCTCTTAATGTTATGAAAAAAAGAGAGAGAATGAGGAGATATTTAAGTCCATGATAATTTTACTAACCAATAGAAATTTTTGTTTTAACTGATTTTAGGCATGCCTGTACCATGTCACAATAGTGGTAGCCACGAGTTACTGAGCATGTATATTTGTGCAGCAACTTGGCAAGATACTTCAATTATATTATTTCCATACCTCACAAAATTCTTGAAAGGCAGCTATTATCAGCCTATTATGAAGAAACTAATGCTCAGAACAATTTAAAAACTTAAAGTTAGAATAGTGATATAAAAAAGATGAGATTCAAACTTAATTTTTTTCTGCTTTCAAAGCTCTTTCCATGTACACACAGTAGTCCTCCCTTATCTGCGAGGGTTATGTTTCCAAGACCCTGAAACCACAAGCAGTACTGAACTCTACATACGTTTTTCCCATACATACATACCTATGAGAAAGTTTAATTTGCAAATTAGACATAGTAAGATTAACAACAATAATAAATATAACAATTATAACAATATCCTGTATAACAATTACAATAGACTGTACTAAGAGTTAGGTGAATATGGTCTCTCTCTCTCAAAATATCTGGAATTTTCCACTTAGTATTTTTGGACTGTGGCTGACCACAGGTAACTGAAACAGCAGGAAATCAAAACTGTAGATAAGAGGGACTACTATATTAACAGGCTATCATAAACACAGTTATAAACATTCACACCACAGAGATCACTATAATAGTTAAGTCTAGAAGGTATAAGTCTCAAAATAATTGAATTTATATGCATAAAATGAACAGTTATGAACCACACAGGGAATTTCATATATTTTTAGAGATAAAAGTGACAGAGGTTATTATCAAGACACTCACCCTGACAATAAGGATCCATTTGATCAATGAAAGGCCAAATCCACAGATGGCACCATACCTTCCGGCTATGGTATTGGTGATACAGAAGGATAAGCAAAATCCAAGCCAGTTGAAAATAAATGCCACTAAAAGCAATAGAAACAGTTCTTTTAAAACCCATACTTTGGAAACAAATTAACAGAGACTTGATATTAACAATACTTCACTGTTCAATGGAAATAGCAGTCCCCTTTCTTTTAATTTTGTACCAATTAAACCTTCTTTACAGACTGTGTTTTACCTTTTGCATGTTATTTACTATACATCAACAGATGGGTAAGCTTGATTTCTTGTCAGTTGGATCAATAGCAATAAATTCCTTAAAGTTTATCACCAATGGATGAAACATTTTTAAACCAGATAAAAACCAGGTCACAATGTAGCTCCCATGTGATCCCACCCAAGAAGCTCAGCCTAAGCAATAGCCAACTAATCAGCCAATATTAAAGATGAGCCAAATAAATTATAAAATCAGGTTCCCAGAGCAGATATCTTCATTGCCTCTTCTTCCTCCTAACAAAACCTTGTTTTATCCCTTCCCAGACTCTCCAGGGAAGGCTGGACCCTGCACTTAGCCCCAAAAGGTGGGTCCTAAGTCATCTGGGAAAATCACAAGAGGCCAAAACTCCCTGCCAACGATTTTTTTTTTTTTAATAGGACTTCCGAAAAACATTTCCTGGTTCTTAAAAACACAGCAAGTAACAGTGGCTCTAAATTGATCTGTTGAAGCTGGGTGATGGATAAATGTAGATTTATTATACTATTGCCCACTTTTATGTAAAAAGAAAAGAACAAATGGCCCTCGCCCTTTCCACTAGATGTTTGAACATGAGACCTAGAACTGCTGCAGGGATCTTGCTATCAGCCTGAGTATGAAACCACCTCTCCAAGTGCGGGAGAGTGAAGAAAAGCAGAGCCACCACACTGATACTTTCTGTGCCTTTGTACTACACATCCAAGCACTGCCTATCTTGTGAGATAATCTCCTAATTATTTAAAACAGTTGAGTAAGGGTTTTCTATTACTTGTAGATGAAACCATTCTGAAATAGGTCCTTGAGATATAATCAGAGTGCCCTATTTGTGTTCAAGTTGTCAACATTACCAAAATAACGATAGTAATAATATTAATAAAACTTCTAAAGATCAATGGTCCTGTTCAGTGCCCATCCTCCTGCCCTATGTATCTCCAACTAACCCTCAGAGAGAACAAAGTAAATTACCTAGAGAAATTCCGACTTTTCAGAATTCTGAAGACAAAGGGGAAGCACATTAGGTTAAGTTTAAATGGAGTAGCTATTTCTTTGAAGAAATTTCCCTACTTTAGTTAATTTCTTCCTTCCTAATGCTTTCTAGTCTCAGCTTTCTCAATCATTTATGGGAAGCTGTATTATACAGTGCAATAGTCAGAAGAACAAGTTTTGAAATAAGAGAACTGTATTTGAGTCACAGCGTACTCAGTCACTAGATATGTGACCTTGGACCCTGCTGACTTCTGTGAGCCACTGTCCACAGTTCCCAGATCTGTAAGTACCCACTTCACAAAGTTGATAAGAGGATTAAGTGAGATGATGAATGTAAAGAGCTTAACATAGTACAGAACGTGGCACATGGTGATTCCTGAATAAGTGTTAGTTATCATTATTACCTATACAAAATGATCTCTTCACCTTACAGAGTAGGTCCTATCTTTTCTGGAAAAAAAATTTCAGGAGACACCACTGGAAATAAAGCCTATTTAACTTTCCACTTTTTCTTTTTTTAAGCCTAGATATGGATCAGTATTTTGCTATCCTCTATATGTGTGCTATCCAATGCCACGAGTCACACTGCTTCTTCCTTGTGCCCCAGGAACTCTTCCTCCTCTATAACAGCTATTTAAATTTAAGTCAAATAAAACTAAATAAAATTAAACATTTAGTTCCTCTGTAACTCAATCCACATTTCAAATGCCCAATAGTCACATGTGGCTTGTAGCTACGATATTATCAAACAGCAGAGATATAGAATGCTTCCATCATCATAGAATATTTTATTAGAAATAGCTGCTCTATATCTCATTGGCTAATATTTGTGTTAGCTATGTAGGAAAACACATAACACTTAGCTAATCAAAAAATAATTTTATATCTATTTAAAATAAAGAATTTACAACAATGAATAGCAGTAGAGATTCCCAACTGGTATGGCACATACGAGTTTGTGACAGGCTGAGCTATTTCTCTCCTTGGCCCTCAGGGCAGGCAGGCGAAGTCTGGGTCAGAAGACAGAGTGCCACCAGCCCTGAGCACCTTCTTCCTTTATTCCAGTGTGCTGTCAACATTCTATCATTTTGTAATCATGCTGTTAAAATATAGGAAGCACTGAGGCAGAAAATAAAAAACAAGAAAATATTCCAAAAATATATTTTTACCTTTCAGTATGTGTACATTTAGCTTTGGGAAAAAAATAATTCAAACGCTGTCCAATTAATTTCTTCAAAATCAGACTTACCTATATCTATTATTTGTATCCTTGTACCCACACCAGAAATAAGATACAAAAGAACAAAAAGTGTTTACTGAGCCATCATGTTTTCTTTTTGCTCTCCACCAGTGGTATGGATTCCTATAAACTGTGCTCATATGATATAACTTGTTATGGACTGAACTGTGTTCCTTTAAAATTCATAGATTGAAGCCCTAATCCCCAATGTGCTGTATTTAAAGACAGGGCCTTGCGGGAGGTAATTAAGGTTAAATGAAGTTATAGGGTAGAGCCCTAATCTGACAGGACTGATGTCCACATAAGAGGAACAGACACCAGACAGCTCTCCCTCCACATACATGTATAGGACAGGTCATGTGAGAATATGGCAAGAAGACAGCCATTTGCAAGCCAGGAAAAGAACCTGGACCAGAAACCAAATTTTCTGGCACCTTGATCTTGAACTTCTAGCCTCCGAATCTCTGAGAAAATAAATTTCCATTTGTAAGCCACCCAGTCTGCGGTATTTTGTTATGGCAGATGGAAGAGACAAATACATAATTTAACCATCTTTAATTGGTTTAATCACTAAGATAACAGTGAAGCTGGTGACCACTTGTGCATAGATAGACTCACTTTTTATGTCCTTTGGCCTATAAGATAGAAAGTAAAGCTGAATATATCTTAAAAGTACAGAAAAAAAAGAATCATTCAATTCTGGACCCTCTATGACATGTCAGAGTTGGGGGTGTGGGGAAGAGAATTTAATAAACGTACTCTAAACTGTAAACATGTAAAATCTATAAAAGAAATAATGTGTAGTAGAGGCAGAAGAATATATAGAGGCCTAGAAAAGAAGAGAAGAACATTTTTCTTTTAGCTCTACTTCGTTCATGCTACATTTCCCTGGAAATCTATGGTAAAATAAGGAAGCTTAAAAGGTACAGGGCACCTAACACCCCACAAAGCAAGGCCAAAGATAGAACCCAAAAAAGCAACACACTTATATAGCCTATATTCCTTAGGAAATGTAAGATTTGGGGACGCAAACAGCAAGGAAGCAAGGAAACAAACTCAGAAAAATTAGTGAAGTATGCTTAGTGCTACTCTGATTCTACTTCTCCACATTCACCTTCAGAGTGCTCTTTTTTAGAGGAAAGCAAATCAGGAAGGGTCAAACAGGTTAATGACATTTAAAATAAGGCTGACGACCACATTAAATCACATTACTTATTACAACTAAAAAAGGTTAATTCCCAGTTAAGGATGGAGAAGAATATTACCATCACCTTCACTTAATAAAACTCCATAATTTGTGTATTCATATATTTTCACTCATTTGATCCTCACATTAGCTCTTTAAGAAGGGCAAGGTAAGAATTAATTCCATTTTACAGAAGGACAAATTGAGACTTAGAACAGTTAAGCTCCACATAAAGTCGCAAGGCAAGAAAGTGGTATAGCCAGGAATGGAGCATCACGTCTTTTCCCCCCTTATATAGTTATCTTTTTACCATCTATACCTCCCACTTACCCAGAAAGGTTAGCAAGATAACCTAGAAAGCAATATTGTACACTATAGTTTCTCTATTAAACAGTATAAGGCTATACTTTCAAATTTGCAATAACCACAAGATACTTATCGATTAAAAAGGGGGAAACAGTACTTCATAGTGAAGAGAGCTGGCAGACATCAACTTAACCTGAGAATTAATATCACCAGTAGTAAAACATATGTAGATCATACTCTGCCCCCCCCCCTGCCACCCCCTGATATGATGCACTAAGGACACATCATTTCTGTGGTATTTCTGGAGAAGGGAGAGGGGAGAGATGAATGAGGAGAGGGGATGGAGGAAGAGGGAGGGGGAAGAAAGGAGAAGAGAGAAATGCATAACCTGAATCTAATCATGAGAAAAAACTAACCAGTACTCTTCAAGAAGAATCAAAGTCATAAGAAACAAAGATTAAGAAACTATTCCAGATTAAAGCAGACTAAGAAAACATGGCAACTAAAATCAACATGCAAGCCTGGATTAGAATACGGACCAGAGAAAAGACATTAGTGGGACAACTGACAAAATTTAAATAAGGTTTGTAAATCAGTTAGTGTATTTTGTTAATATTAATTTACTAATGTTGATTACTGAACCAAAGTTACATAAAATGTTAACACTTGGAAAAAAGCTGGATGAAAGTTACATAGGAACTGTATTATTTCTACAACTTTTTCCTAAGTTTTAAAGTATTTCAAAATAAAAGTTTTAAAATTAAAAACCTCGATACCTGCTTTGATAATAAACAAATGAAAATCACAGATGAATGAATATATACATAATACAAACATTGAGAACTTAATTTTTTGATCACAGAAAAATCTTCATTACATATAAATGTACCAGATTTCCAAGAAAGCAAGTTCTCAGCAAAGAATAATCAATTTCACTATACTTAATTCTGAACTTAAACAGGGGTAAATTTTGGTCCTATTCTTAGGCTTTTTGTTTAAACTATCAGCCATTAAGAAAGACATCAAACTAATAATTTATTAGTTTTAAGACATTTCCACTAAAATTATAATCAGATAAAAATTATTTCTCTTGTAAGTAAAACAAATTCAATAAAATTTAATACTTCACAAATATTATGAGTTTCTTAAGGTACAGTTACAATTCTTAGGTGTTCCCTTTCTAGATTCATTTACAACATGTAATGTCTTCTAAAAGCTATGTAAAAACACAGCTTTGCATGCATAGAACAAATCATTAATGTATTTTTTCATTATGTGTCATATGCAGACAACTCCTTTAATAACTGTAACTTACCTACTGTGACTTGTCCACAGTAGGTAAATTTACTGAATAAAGATCATTGATCATTAGGCAAATACAAATTAAAACCACAATGAGATACTACCGTACACCTATTGAAATGTCTACAGTAACTCTCATTCACTATTGGTGAGAATGCATAGCGGTATAGCCAACTTTGGAAGACAGTTTGGTAACTTCTTACAAATCAGAATTCACATTTCAAAACACTCTTTTCTCTTCAAAGGTACAACTAATTTAATTTCTCTTTAATTATGTTATCCTCAAGTCTAAAATGGGTGTAATGCAGATGATTAATTATTACTATAGCACACTGATTAACATATGATACAAAAGGCTTGACCCTGGAAGAAAAAAATTCTAAATAGAGCCCATTACATTCATTTTTAAGTACTAGAGTTCAAGGTCATTTTCAAATACTGTCAATTATTCAATAAGCCAAATATTAATTTCTAGCTTTTAACTGATAAATAACTAAATTCTATTCCACTCTCTTAGAGAGAAAATCTGTTAGGCATATAATAGGCATTTTGTAATGACACTTTTAGGGATTATGAGAAGCTAAAACATTATCAGGGATACATATATTTCTTTCTTTACATTTTCTGAACATGAACATGCAATTATCTTTCTCAATTTAGGTGTAAACTTTCTTTAGAGTTACATGTGGTAAAAAACAGAAATGTGGATGTTGAAAACAGAAAAGGCAAGAATTAAACCAACGAAAGGTTGTAACTGAAATTTGATATAATGTAGTTTCTTACTGATATAATGTAGTTTTATTTGTACAACTTATATAACCTGAAATGCTTAAGTTATAAACCAAGTAAAGAAAATCTATTTCTGAATCTTAGAAATAGACAATAGAATAGAATCTATATACTAGCTACTGGACAGTTTAAGGAGAATGGAAAATACAGCAAGTTGCAATTTGTAGAATGGCCACTAGGTGGTAGTGATTACAAATAAATCTATGCTTAGTAAAGCAAATAAGCTCAGGCACTGGCCTACAATCCACCAGAATACAATATGTAAAGAAATAAAGATGAGAAACAATTTATAATTTTACTCATAATAGTGCAATATTTATAGAATAAGCAAAAAAATATAAATTGCAGAAACATAATTCAGTAAAATTTTAGTAAAAGTCACAAAATTTACATTAAATATATTAAATATAAACATATTTATATTTACATTAATTAATATATGATCACTGGCCAAAAATAAAGTCAACCAAGCATCTACGTTGTAATGCATTTACAACACTGTTACATCAGTGAAATGTTTTCATATCTAAAAAAATAAAAACTAAAAAGATGATAGTAGGGTTTAGTAACTACAGAAATGAAGAAATAATACTTAAGCTTTGAGTCAAATAATTAGATGGTATAAAAAACATGTTTTTATTCCTAAGAAACAAGAATTTATACTACAAATAATACAATAAATTTAAATTCGTCTCTAATTAAGAAATCAATGTTTACGTGACTTCTTGTAAACAAAATATGCTACAAAGTGTGTTATCAATGTAAAAGGTTACCAGCTGAATCAAAACTAAAAAAAAAGCCAAGGTTCACTAGACTAACAGTAAAAAACAGTATTTATAGCCAAAATGTTTATTCATTTCCTTTTCATCACACTTAACATTGTATTTAATTAGAAATTGTAACTAAAACAAGACTTAAATATTAATAGATTTGAAAAGAAAACTATAACTGCCAGCCCACTATCATCCCATTTCTGAGTGGTTATCTACTTCTATTCTTCACAAGATGAAATAAAAGGAGGCAAGAAATCATTCCAAAATGGAGGAAAAGATGAGTGAGTTTCCAGACTCAAAAGTAACTCAATTCGGGAAGTATGTATTTTCTATTTTTAAAGTTGAATGTGGCACTTTAAATAAACTATTCCTTGGTTTTATTATCAGAATAAATCATAAATTAAAATGAATTAAATTAGCTTTCTATCAAAGGTATGAAAACTTGATCATTTAACTAGGTTGAAGGCAAAAATTAACCATATCGTAGACTAATAAATTTACTTACATTATTTAATATTAGGTTTCCAAAACTTATTTTAGCAAACAGTTTATTGAATTTCACAATATTATTTATTGAGTTTACTATGTGCTAGTTAGGAATTGAAATAATAGAGACAATAACAGTCGTCCCTCAAGGATCAGAAGTCTACTTTGTAAGTCAAATATTAAGAATTTTGCAACATTTTATAAAATATTGCTTAGGTTTCTGGGCTTCTAACTACTCACCATTTCCCCTAAATAAGACTTACTCTTTCATATTTCTGTGTCTCAAATCACATGTGTTCTAGTTGCCTAAACTATTTCCTTTTTCAACTTCTCTGATTTAAAGACACTCAAATGGCAGTCCTCTGTCCCCAAAGCAGAATTTATATTTTCATTCTACATGTTCCTCAGTGTTGAATGGACATTCATCCTTTCTCATACAAACACATATTTAGCATAAATATGTCTGTATATCTCTATACAATGAGCACCTTAGCATAATGACTATAATACATAAGTATCTGCTAAGTGTTTAATAAATTCTAGGATTTGTATTGTAACATACAATCATACTCAGCTAATAGGGGGAACAATTTACATTTCAAACCTGGTAGATACCTGCTAACGACACTTGCCTTTCTTCACTGTCTATAGTATTTTAAATATACACAAAGCTAATATATGCAACAACAACAAAAAAGTTTGCAGAAAGATGATCACTTACTAAAAAATGCCAGCATGAAAATCCCATCATTGCCCACTCTGAGCTGGTCTGCATCACTGAAGTCATCTCTTGGTGGACACTCTTCCTCCTGATTCTGCAAAACATACAACAGTAGAACAGCTCACTAAAAGAATTATAACTTTATTATCTTAAATAAGAATTCAAGTCTGCGGCCATGCCGCCCTGAACATGCCTGATCCCTTCTTATCTCAGAAGCTAAGCAGGGTCGGGCCTGGTTAGTACTTGGATGGGAGATCAGCTAGGAAGACCAGATACTGTAGGCGTAAAAAAAAAAAAGAGAATTCAAATAAAATCTACTATCCTCAATTTGTTGTACAGACAAAAATAATGAGTACAATGTCTAACATATAATAAGCACTCAAAAATATTAGCAAGTATTAATTTTTCATGGGCATGCCTGAAAAGAGTAACTTTAAAGGTAAACACAAAAATAAAAGTTGAATAATATCGAATTAATGAAAATAATATCAAGGAAGACAGATGTGACACTGCTGCATTAAGTGTCAAACGGGAAACAGGAACTTTCATAATCAGTGGTAGAGTATAAATTGGTACAATCTCTGGGGTTCGCAATGTGGCAATATTTATCAAAAATAAAAATGTACTCACCCTTTGACCCAGCAATTCAGCTCTTCAAATATATTGTACAGATAGATATACACATTTTTTCCCACTTAAATTCAGGGTTCCACAGTGTGTGTGGAGGCATCAACTGGCCCCCCTTTAAGTTATCCTGTAGTAACTGAGGCTCAGAGAAACTGGTGTGAGAAAGTGCTAATACTCTGGCTACTACTACTGATGTGAACAATAAAGTTTTTGTTTCTAACTCAGCAGTGTCATGTCTTCTGCCAGCATCCACAAAACTAACAAGCTAATCAGGTAGCTCTACTAGTAAAATCTCAGATCATTCACAATTCTTGACAAATTAATGAAATAAGTTATTAGATATACATCTGGTGAAATTCAAAAGGCAATGTAAAAATTTTAAATAGAAAAAAACAAAAGTTCTTAATATTCTCATGTCAGTCTCTAAAATACCTTAAATGAAAATCATTTGTATATCTTTTGTGTACAAAAATATACTAACATATTAATGTATTTGCTTGTAAATGTAGAGAACTTCTCTGAAAGTATATACAAAATCTGTTATCACTGATTGTCTCTAATACCCAATGCATATTGATGAAATATCCATTCTACACAAGACTTAGCTTCCTGGTAGCTGGGATATACAAGTGTACATAAAGATGCTAGCTTTTCTGGATTCTATAGTCCAGTTATGGGAGCCAAATAACAAACAAAGACATAATATGTTATTTATACAATTATTAAAAGGTATAAATGCTCTGGGGAAAAAAAAAGGAAAAGATGGTTTAGGAACGCCTTGAGCTTATGGGTTACAGTATTAAATGTGATAGTCAAGAAGCCTCACTGAGATATAACACTTGAGCAAAGATTTAAAGGAGAATAAGAGAGTTAGCTATTTAGATATCTCAGAGAAGTGTTTCAGGCAAAGGAATAAGCCAGTGCCTTATGAGGACCTAATAAGCAAGGCCCTAAAGTAAAATCATACCTGGCACATTAGGGAAACCACAAGGTTTGACTAGAGTAAATAAGAGACCCAATGAAGGACTTTGGATTTTACTGGGATACTGGGAGGTATAAAGTTTTGACCAAATGAGTGACATGACCTGATTTACATATATATTATCTCCACGTTACATATACATAATCTCAGTTGGGTGTTAATGTTTCAATTTTTAGTGTACACAGAGGACCAGAGAAGCTAAAGGCCCTGCCCAAAATCACATAATTAATTAGGTCAGGGCCGAACTTGAATCCAGGACACTGACGCTCTTTCCATCCAGCCATGGTGGTCTCACTTACATATATGTTGTTTTCCTAAAAGAAAAAAACTTTCAAAACCATGTTGCTCATATTTGGGTAAAAAAATCCTTAAACTCTGCAAATGTATCCTAGGCAACCTTCTTATGGTATATGTAATGACTGGCAACAATTAAATACATATTAATAAAATTTTATATAATTCCAAGTTAACTGATGAAATAAACATTGAAGTACAGTATTAGCCCCCCAAAACCATTGTCAATATGATGACAAAAATATAAATATTTCATACTCTTTTGAAACAGCAGTCCAGAGATTTTATCATAGGACATCATTTTTAAAAAGATAGAAGACATATGCACAAAGATGTCTTTTACAAGGTTAACACCAGCATGCAAACACACACACGACCTAATTGTTCACTAGAGAGAATGGCCACTAAATTATAGTATATCGAGTCCATGGAATTTCATTCAATCATTAAAAGAACAAAAAAAATTACATAAAATGTTTAAAAATAAAAGAATATTTGCAATAATTTCAACTACCTTAAATATTGATTTAAAAATCCTAAAATTGGTAAAAGACACCAAAATATTTTAAAATAAGAGCTGTAATAGATTCTATTCTAGTACTTTCTTCCTCTTAATTTCCCACACTGGTTAATGTAAAGAAAGCATTCATTAACTTAATTAACCATTATTTCTTAAACACCAACATGTGGCAGATAATCATTTGGTGCTGGAAATGTAAACACATGGTCCTTGTCCTAGAGTTGCTCACAATTTATCAAATGCTAATTTTTATGTCAAAAGACAAGTTACTGACATACAATTTAAAACAAGTTACAAAAAAAGAACCCTACCAGGTTATGAGACTGATGAACAAGAACAAGGCATGTTCTAAAAGTTTTATAATGTGAATTATTTGAAATTCAAATATTTTCCCTAGAAATATTGAAAATGAGTAACCTGTAATATACATGCAACCCTAAACATTAGAAATAGAAAACAGTGGAAAATAGCGTTTCCAAGTCTCCTGGCCACCTATGTACTCCCAATGAGAGTGGATTCAAGAAATAAGCTTTTCAGCTCACCCAGCTGATTTATTTACAACTAACTACACAGACATACCTCATTTACAGTACTCCACTTTACTGCACTTCACAGATGTTTCATTTTTTTACAAATTGAAGGCAAGACCCTTCACCAGTACACAGATTACAACTCACTTTATTGCAATACTCACTTTACTGTGGTGATCTGGAACCGAACCTGCAATATCTCCAAGGTATGCCTTTACTCAAATTGCAAATAAGACTGGTTTTTTATCTGAATCAGATATAAAAACACACTCAATCATTCTTTGCAGAAAGAGAGTCATGGAGCACTGGGTTAGAAACCGATGAATTTAAAAGGTTTTTTACAAGGACCTAAGTTTGTCTCTTATGTATAATTCTATTTTGCTTTCCATGAAATTGTCCACAATCCTCTCAAGCTAGAATTAGAAAGGTATCAGAAGCAGGTAAAAACAGAAAACTTCTCCTTCTAGACATGTGCCAGTTCAGGCCAGGTTATCACATAACTTTCTAAAACAACACACTGGAAATGATGACAGGGAAGGGTTGGAATAGTTACACTCCAGAGTTTTCTTTCCAAAAGGTAAAATCATCTTTATCCTTTTCTCAGAGCACAGAGAGCAAGACTTAATGCTTACTACTTTCTCTTCAGAGTTCTATCCTATTGCATGGAAGTTAGGGCAGTAAGGACAAAAGGTCCACGGCACCCTTTAAAGACCTTTGCCATTTCCAAGGTCTCTAGGGAGACATCACCTCAGAAAAAGAGTTACTGTCCCTCTACTTCATTGAGAGTGTGTGCATGTATACATATGTACAAACATGTATGTGCTAAGCAACCTAGAGTTGATTTTGACAGAAGCTCTATACTTCATACATCTATCCTCTTCCTCTTATGATTCTCCCCTCCCAGCGTCAAAAATCTTTATTGACTGAGCTATATTTATGCCACTGTCTTAATAGGGACTTACTTTCTCCCTAAGAATAAATAATTTGGAGTTTACTGTCTTTACTTATGTGCCCAAAGCTATTTATGCTGACATTTAACTATGAATGTTGGAGGATGACAGTGGGAGCAGGTATGGAAAGGGTTGTAAATGCTGATGAAAGAAACCCAACCAGGAAAAATGCTCACTTACCAGAGAATCTACTTGCTGGCTTTGGCCTGATGGTGCAAAGAGGAGAATGCTGTACATAGAAATTCTCTCTCAGCCCCTTACCTAATTCTAACTTTCCCAAGTGATTTCTTTTTCCTGAACAAAATAGGATGAATTCAGGGATCTAAAATTATGTCTCAAAGTCTGAAGCAAGAAAAAAGGCAACAAACCCTAGTCTTGCTTGCAGCCAAACTAAAATGTAAATAATATCTGGCTATATACTGGCATACATGCATTTCATTGATTCTCCATTACTGAGACAGCCATTCCTTTCACCAAAAAAAGAAATTACACATACTTATATCATTGATTCTCTCCATTGCAAAGACAGAAAAATGAGGAAGAAAGGGCAGGTAGAATCCTTGACCATCATTTAACATTCTAGAATAGCATGTGTTAAAAGGACCAAAAAAAAAGCGAACTGACAAACATAATTTGAAGGCTTTTAACTTATTTATCTGTGCTTTTTAATATACCCTGAGTTCCATAGTTTCTAGACTATGCTAATATATAAAACGTGAATAGGAAAAGAGATGATTTATGATTATAGTGACAGACCATGGAACGTAAACTATTTAAGGAGAGAAATAAGGACATCAACAGTGTAGAGGTTGATGTACTTGAGGTCTGAGTGAAGGAGGACTATTAGAGTGGGGTTAACTCGGGTGAGTCAGAATGATGGGAGGGGAAGGTCACCACATGAGACGTCTGAAATCAAAAACTTAAGAAATGATCATTGTTTTGGTAAAGATAAGATCTAGGATGACCACAAGCTAAGATGGGATAAAGGGGAAGATCAAAAGAAAGGGAAACAGAAGTGAGGTCAAAGAATGAAGAAGGTGAATTTAACTAGGAGAGTGCCAATTTCACTAAAAAAATGATGACACACAAAAGTATTAAAATACTTTTAAAAAATCTACAGGCACAAACACTCAAATACAGACTACTATTTTTGATATTGCTAAATGTACATATTAATAAAAATAATATTCCTCTCAAAAAAGGAATTTTTCTTACTCTTTGAGAAGTTTCTGCGGCTACAGCTGCCATTGCAGCAGCTTTAGCCTTCTCAGCTTCATCATACGTAGGAAGAGAGGTGGCAACACTGTAGGGAGGTGGCACAGGATAAAACTCACTGTAAACTTCTGTGTCTGAAGAGAAAACATTTAAAAAGGATAACCATTAAAATTAACTATTTGATATAATTTTTATAGCCAAAAACATAATTTAATAATTCACAACAGGCCACTAGAGAAGTATTACTGCTTTGTATTCCTATGTTATAAGCTATATATATTATTTTAGTCCTATATTTATTATAAAGAAAAAAGACTGATAAATATTATCTAAACGCTGATATACAAAAGAACAACCTCAAGGATGAAATTTTGAAAAGGAGTGCAAGACATGAGAAGTAAGCAATAGTGCTATGCTGAAAGAATTTATTTTACTTGCGCATAATCTCAATCAAAAAAGTAAAAATATAGGAATAACAGCTTAAATACTAACCATTTAATATACTAGTCTATGTACATTAATCTTAGCAACTCAGGTGCAGAAAGATTAAGTGATTTGCAAGTATCACACAACCAATTAAGTGGCAGAATCCAGGGATTTCCTGACTCCAAATACTTTGCTCTAATAAAATGAGGTTAATTTTTATATACCTCAGTTTTAGCAACTGCCCTAATCACAAAAGCAAACTCAGTACTTCTCTTTGTCAAAAGATTAATGATATTTAACTCTTTTTTTACTCTTCTCCCTTTCTCCTCCCATTTTTCCCATTAGCTCCTTTTGATTTTCTTTGTACGAATAATTTTTATCTCCCCAATATTTGAAATATGATCGATCTCCAGAATTTTATTACAATAAGTAAAGACACTGCCCTAATCACAAAAGCAAACTCAGTACTTCTCTTTGTCAAAAGATTAATGATATTTAACTCTTTTTTTACTCTTCTCCCTTTCTCCTCCCATTTTTCCCATTAGCTCCTTTTGATTTTCTTTGTACGAATAATTTTTATCTCCCCAATATTTGAAATATGATCGATCTCCAGAATTTTATTACAATAAGTAAAGACTGCTTATTTGGGGGGGGGGGGAAACTGTATCATTTATTGCCAACATAAGTAGTATAAGTAAAATGATACTGGCCAGTCAACTGATGAGGCTTAGGCTAGAATCAGTGACATGAAAAAAACAGGTCCATTCTAAAAATAGTGCATACCAAAATGTTTGCTATCACTTCTGTGATTTCCTCTCTTATAACTACAGTATTTACATTCTCTATATTGGTTTATAATTTTCTCTACCTTTATCAAAATTTCTTGCATTTCCAACATGAAAACAAACACATTTTACTTTAGCAAAACTTTTCCTATTGTCTTTTATGTATATGTTTTAAAATAAGTTTTTTAAATGCTGTCTATAAAAACTAAAGTTAGGTCATTTTTAATGTAATGAGAGGAAGTGGTAATAACAATGCAATATAGTATGTCATCGTATTATCTACCATAAGGCACAAGAGTTATAAATCTTACAAAAAGACTTATTATTAGGATATAAAAGCAGTCGAGTAAATAGATTTCTTTAGTTGTGAAGACCAGAGTAGAAGTAACATTTAAGTGAAAATAATGGTTATGAATGTTAAGGCAATAACATTAAAATGACAGATTTTTTAAACTGGAACAATGACATACAGAATCCATGGAGATTAGATCTTTTATATTAACAACAGATATGTAAGTTTTTGAAACGTTTCAACATCTAAGAGAGAAAAAATATTCCCACCAGTAACAGATGGAAGTTGGGAAGCAGCAGTATACTGTCTTTAATTTTCACTTGTTTATTTTATTTTTTTTTCTTCTACCTTTTAAAGCAGTGGTTCTCAACCAGAAGATTTAAAGTCTGGGGAGCTCCAAACCCAGCTCCTCTTCTTGGAAGTTATGTTAACTCAGACAAATCACTTAAACACCATGAAGTTCTACTTCTTCATCCATAAAACTGGCCCAGCAAGGCTATTATTTACTATTAAGGGATGAAACAGATGAGCATTCAAGAGGACTCTGTAAACTGTGAAACATTCTACAAATGTCACCTATTACTAATGTAGCTCAGATCTATGAAACCAGCTATGAAGTTACCTACTGAAGAATATAATCTCCACAGAAAACTGACACTGACCATGTGTAAAATAGAAGAGTGACCAAGAAGGTGAAGAAAAATAATATCAATAGTTTTCATTAAACAGAGACCCAAAATTCTAGAATTACTCAGTTCTTGTGTTCTATCATAGTCATGAATGGCCTATTAGCACAAGTGTAAAACATAAGAAAGTCCAGTAATGATAAAGAATATTGTAATAATAACAGAACATCTAGATATTAGGCTCAACTTGTTTTACAGTTGGAATTTACCTGCCTTTAAAAATGTCATGCTACATCATCAAAACTATTCTAGATCATAAAAAATGAAAAGTTTCTCAATTCATTTTATGTTGCTTCCATAGTATTAATACCAAAACCATAAAGACAGTACATAAAATTACAGATTCCAGTAATAAAGCTACAAAAATATTAAATAAAATTTTAACAAATCTATATCCGGAAGAGATTAGAATAGAAAGACAAATAGAATCTATTCCAGGACTACTGGGACAGATTAGCATAAAGAAGAAGAAATCTATTAATAACATATTTCATTACATTAAAAACTGAAGGAGAAAAAAATAACAATATAATTTTATGATGTTACCAAAAAGATGACTCCAAGGTTTCTGGCCTGGGAGACATTTATTGAAATGGGAAAGAATGTCAAAGGAGGAGGTTTGATGGTAGAGGAAAAGGCAGTATGCAGTTGGTTGTGGTGGTTTTAAACCTTATTCTATTCTTTAAAAACCGTCCCATCAAGAGGTGGAGACTAATTTCTTGATAGTCTTGAATAACCACTAAACTCAGTGACTCACTTCTAACAAGCCAAATGTGGCAGATGTGACACTGTATGACTTATGAGGCAATGTTGTTAACAGGTGATGTTAACAACATTGGCTTTCTCTCAGAATGCTTCCATTTGGCTTTCTCTCAGAATGCTTCCATTTGGCTTTCTCTCAGAATGCTTCTTCTTGGAATCCAGGCTCCATTCAGTGAGGAAGCCCAGGCCACAACAAGAGGCTGCATATGCATGAGGCTGATAGCCTCTGCTGAGGTCCTAGCTGAAGCCTGCGTCAACTGTCAAACATGTGAATAAGAAAGCCTGCAAGGTTCCTCCAGCCCCAGTACCATCAGATAACAATTGTGTGAGATCATAGAAGAAAAGTGCATAAGTAAGCCCAGTTCACCCCCAAAACCATGAGAATTAATAATAATAAATGACTGTTACTTTAATCCAGTAAGCCTGAGGCAGTTTGGTAGAAGCAATAGCAAAAGCAGCCACAATGAAGAGATTACAATTTCACTTTGAGTATCGTCCATCATCCAGGCATGGGCATCAACAGAATTTTCTTTCTTCAAGATTACCATCAAATAAATCTAGGATAGCAAACTCATTGCACTACTCTGGAAACTTGAAAAGTTAGCCGATAATACATTTTAACAAGCACGAATCCAGCTGTTAAATCTTAGAGCCAAACACAAACCTGATATAAACCAATACAAAAACTGTGCATCAAACTGGGTGCTGAACAAGTATATTGATCAAATAACATTATATACAAATAAAAAGAATAAGCATTTACTAATTTAACTAGTGAGAACACCTCCATGGAGAAGATGATTTTCACTAACTACATAAAAAAGTAAGTGAATTTGGTGTAAAAAATATTGAGTCTTTTTACACATCCCATGTGATCTACATAAAATTTGGACAAGTAAAAATGGTAACCAGAGAAAGCTGGCATGCGTATGAGAAAAATAGATGACATTAATTATAGAATAAGAGATAAAGAAGATAAAATATTCTAATGAAAGATTTTTTGCAGTAAAATGTTTCTCAATAACTGATCTTTTAAATGTTTCATAATGAACATATAAAATATTTAGGTTATCCATAATAGTATACAAAATAATATCTGAAATACTATATAATGATTAAATTAGCATTACAGGGGGCAGGGGCGGATATAAATTGTGGCCAGAGAAAGAGAATTAGATACGGGTAGTTCCTCAGAATGACCTGAAAGGATAAGATGAGCAAGCAAGAATCACTGCTTTATTATCATGTGTACGAGATAACAGTATGTATACCTTTTACTTCCATTAATAATACATTCCCACTCACACTCATCATTAATAATCTGTTTTATAACTATGTAAGTAGGTAAACACACATATGTAGATCTACATGTGTATATGTATGTATATGTTTATTTCTTCCAAAAGTTATATGCTAGTATATAGAGAACAGATTCTCATAAGCATAAGAAAGTTTAAAAATCTACTTTTAAATTAATTTTTTAAAAGAACATTGAGACATACAATGTATGAGATAAATATTTTACAAACTATCCTTGGGAAAAACTTTTTTTAAAAAAATGTATAAAATCAAACAAGCTCATAAAGAGAGATGATAACTACATAGAAACATATTGGTAAAAAACAAACAAAAAACCTAAACTATTAAAAACATTATTTACTTCATTGATGTTTCATACTAAAACAATAATACCTGAAGTTGTAGGTACTTCCACAGTAATACTACTATAAGGTGGAGGAGAAGGGTCGGTTTCAAGTCCTGATGCTGAAGGAGCAGACTGCATGATCTGTGGTATTGGATTTGAAGCTGATGGTTGCTCTATAGCAGATGATTCTGAATTATCCTCTTCATTGTGAAGCTAAGAGAACAAAGGAAAAAAGAAACATTAATGTAATTCTATTATTTAATTAACACCAATTTTTAAAGATTGTTGCAGGCAAAGGATCACTTTTTATCTAAAAAACAAAATAGCATTTAAAAAGATGAACGAAATATTGAAGAGACAATCAGTCATTAAGAAGTTTAGTTCTATTATATTAGTATCTAGAATAACTGGAAATGTAAACTGAATTAATGAAATGACCATGTATAAACATTCCAAAATGTGAAATGCTCTAAGGAGGCTTTCCCGTGTATCAAAAAAAAAAAATAGTCATTAAGCAAAATGAGTCAACGTGTATATAAAATTCTGGAAAAATGTCCTTCACCACGAATGCATTGAAAGTGCGAGTTAATAAGTTGAGATCTTCAATCATTTAACTCGTTTAATCCTCACAACAAACCAATGAGATAGAAAATGCTATCCCCATTTGACAGATTAAAAGAAAAAACCTGAAATATCAGGACTTTAAGTAACTTGTGAAACATCACAACAGCTAGGAAGAGAAAAGCCAGGAATAAAACACAAGTAGTGTGGCTACAGACTTCTTACTCCATTTACAGCAAACTTTTAAATGATCATTCACTAAGAGCTGATACTAACTACACACAAGCAAACTAATCTAAGGTGAACCAAGAACATCAATACTCTAAAACGTGACTCATCAAAAAGCTACTATAATTGATCCTTAAATATATTTGGAAAAGAGCTCCTATTAAAATATATTTAAGACACTTTTAAAACCAGAACCTTGATTTGAAGAGAAACTACAGGCTTTCGACATTCAATTTTCGTTTTGATTTTTTCCTGTTACTTTAAGAAATTCAACGTTAAAAACAATCCCTCAAAGAAATTTTATCTGTACATATACAAACCTGAGTGTTGTGATGTAATGAAACAAACAAACATGCATTTTTGGAGTTTAGAAAGAAGAGCATGCAAATTCTTCCTCCATCTTTTAGGGGCTTTGATAAACTTATCTTCTGTGTGCCTCACCATCTCCACACGTTAAGTTCTCAATGCAGCCAAAATCTTCATAGAATTGTAAATAATATTTGGAAAGAATCTAGTATAACACCTAACAGAGAAGACAGGTAATAAATGCTAATTCCCTCTTCTTCCCCCTTATTTAATATACTTTATTTCATGAACTTTATTATTCGAATAAGTAGTTACTCACTCGCCTATAAGGAACAAAAAATTTGAAAAGTAAAAAATGTTAATTTACTTCATTGCTGTTTGCATGTGTCTTGTTAAGTGATCACACTAGCAAAACAATTTTGTGAGTTAATAAATGTATTATAAATTTTAACAAAATTGTCAAAAACATACCTAAAATCATTTCTCAAGTTAATAAGACAAACTTTCCCCATAACACCAAAGTTTGTGTAATAAAATACACTCAGAGGAACTGAATTCTAAAGTCGAATAATCATAAAGTGAACTCTGTATGAGTTTTACATTTACTTGCAGCACTTTTCCAAGCAGGTGCTAAATGACCATCCTCCTGACTAGCAGCACCCTAGTCCAAAGCATGTGTCACAAAGCACCTCTCATGTTTCCCATTACAAGGTGCCCAGGAGAATTCCTAGTTTAGTCATCCTTGATCATACTTTTAAGAGCAAAAATGTTAGATGAGCAAAGTAAGGCAAATAAACGTCAAGTACAGATATACGTTTAACAATATTAACAAAACAATTCAGCAACAGTGAAGATAACAAAAAGAGGAAACCACTTTTCCAAACTACTGTTAATGCTGCAAATGTAGATGAACTGTACAGAAGAAAAATATCCTGTATGACAAAACATTTCTCCTCTAGTTCTTCACAAGAAACATTCCTTATGCATCAAATACATAAATATGCTCCCCTTCATTTTTAAAACCTGTCGATTTATTCAAATAACTACAATAAAAATAATAACTACAGATACTTTTACATATGATCTCAGAAGTAAAGCTCTGGAACCTGTAAAACATACCCTAATTTATTTCAACTGCCATACCTAACACCTCCAGTTTTATTTTACAAAACGATAATATACAGTGAACATTTGCTATCTGCCAACAGTGAAATTCAGTCAATAATCTCTGCCCACTATAGCAAAGACTTTCCAGTTTGCTTTAAATACAACACTGTAATAATTTTGGCGCCTTGATAAATTAACCTACTTTAATTGCCTTTTAACTAAATCCATATGAGGGTTCGAATCAAATTATATCTTTATCAAATTAGACAATGCCATTCATGGAAAACTTTCATTTAGCACACTGTCCAATGGTTCTATTTTACTTTTTTTAATGGTTACCTAAAC